GAATGAGAAAAACTTACACACAAAACTCTATGAGGTCTTTGGATGAGGAGAAATAGTTCGCAACATTATGGTAGATATGCATGGCTGTGGCCGAAGGTGCATGCCAAACGCCGCCAGAGAAAAATACAACAAGATCTTTGGAAAGATTCCCCTAAAAGAAACAGTCATTTGCACTTGTAAAATCAATGACTAAATGAGGAGCTTTTATCGACTTTCTAATACACCCCACACTTACCCTATTCGACATCAGTTCATGGAACATTTCAAGATTTAGACGTCTCAGCGACTGTTTTTGCCGTGTACGAGGATGAACTTGCTCACTCCTGTACGCATTTACACTAAACATGGATCTTTCACCCAGAGCCATACGGTCTAGCTCATACCTGATATTCAGTTCTTCGCTTCTCAAGTGTACCGGCAGGAGGTGAGAATGAAAATCCTTGATGAATTTTCGCAGTCGCTCTCTTAAATATAAAAATAGATACGAAAACAACCTGCATGATCCTAGCTTACTGCGACAAAATTCCATCCATTATAGAAAACAGTCCAAACCGCGATGTGATTGCCACTACTGCTGGTAACTGAAAGATCTCATTCAAAACAGGAAACTGAAAGGGAGTTGCATAACTGACCTTAGTGTCGTTCATGCCCCATTTCTCCAGGAAATACGAGTAGTGCAGTGAATCTAATACGGCAAATCTCAAAGTATTTCTGTCCTAGAGAGAAGAAATTATTGTGAGGAATGAAGATGGCGAGAATGAACTTACATCTGAGCAAGCCAAACCTCGCACTGATAGATTTGTGTAAAGGTAGCTACTTTTATGTTCACCGATTGTCTGAAAATCACATACGACTCATGAAAATGAGAACGCAAGCAACTACTAATTAAAGAATAATTTAGGTCATTTGATCACGCGTAGCTACGGTAGTTCCCAGAGGCGACAACAGGGTTTTTGGGGGATGATTGTGGCAGAGGTGGCATGACTTTCCGGAAACGGCGATTTAGTAAGGCCCAAGACAGAGTACACGCGATTTGATCGTCGCGAT